TAGAGCAGCCCTCTGAACAGCCATTATCAGCTCAGTGTTGACCACAATCATTACTGAGGATCTGTTCCAAAGCAGCAATTAGGGAAACATTACCTTGATTCTGAGTTCCTCACTGAGGTTTATGAATAAATACTCATATCCATAAGCAGCTTTGCAGTTCAGCCACACAACATGATTACGAGACAGTGAGGTCCAGCTTCGCACCAACTCCAAGATCCCATTTAAACATTCCTCCTGAAAAGTGTAGAAAGTGCTGTCAATCATCTTGGAAGAGACTTCCAACGTGCTGTGACTTAGTAATACAAAATGGCATTGCCTTGTAAGACCTTCCTAACAAAGGGGTAGTTAATTAATTAACAGTTTCAAGGGCCTTTCTTCTCACAATTTATTAGACTTACCCGGCTTGGTATGTGATAAAATTTGGGATCACAAAAAGTAGTGTCCAAATACACACTCTGGATGTCTTTTACCCTGGAGAATAGAAACGTGATATCAGAGTAAACATTATACCACAGTGCTAAGATACACCACTTCCTCTCTCTTCAAAAGGAGGTAATTCTACCTCTTGATTACAAAGAATTTGTCAAAGGGGGCTTGTAACTGCCCCACTTTTCCTCATTTTTACTTCTAGATTAAATATAATTGCAGTATAGCAATTACATTTAATCTAGAATTAAAAATGAGGAAAAAATAAAGAATACCTAGCCAAATTGTCCATGCCATATGATCTTCTGTTCTTTCTATATCCCACAAATAGCTCACCTGGTCCCTGAATGCAGAAGCTCCATTCTGGCTACTTCTCCTTTTGCAAGCCTGAAATCCCCTGTGTATAACACAGTGCCATTCTCACCTTCAAACAGAAACCTGCAGACAGCAACATTTGGGTCAAACGCCTCATTAAATGCCAGGTGGTGAAACATTTAAAGTATTGAAAGGACATACATGACTGAACCTGGACAGTGACCAGCTGGCAGAAGTGTCACCACTACATCTTCTTTCTGGAAGAGAGGGGTTAACATTATTTTCAGACTGTAGTAAGTACACCAGTACTTTTGTCAGCACAGTGAGAGCAATGCATTACTCCCCACAGCCTCCTGCAGCATTTAGCATTGCTTTTAAAACCAGAGCCTCTCTTCACACTGCAACCACCATCCTGTCATGGCAGAAGAGAGGACCAAGTATTTGTATGGTGTTTATTAAGCAAGTTGGACAGAAGACAGTTCTACTTCCTTGGTTTCTGGTAAGCAAGTACAGAATAGTTTGGGTTGGAAAGGACCTTTAAAGTTCATCCAGTCCAACTCCCCTGCAATAAGCAGGGACATCTTCAACCAGATCAGACTGTTCAGAGCCTCATCCTGACCTTGAATGTTTCCAGGAATGGGGCATCCACCACCTCTCTGGGCAACCTGTTCCTTTGTTTCACCATCCTCATTGTAAAATGCTTCTTCCTTATACCTAGTCTGAATTGAGCCTTTTTTAGTTGAGAACTACCATCTCTTTCTCTGTCCCTACAGGAGAGGAGGGGCACATACATTTTAAAAATAGCTTGTGCACTTCAGATGCTGCAGCTGTGTTTCCTGTACTCGTGTAAACAGCATCACTGCCCATGACTGACATATGAATCTTTTTTTCCTGTAACTTACTTCACCAGATGTTTCATCTTCTAAAGTAATCTGAGTTGGTGTTTCAACTTCCAATGCAACCTGTAACAAAATGATTAATTGCATTATAGGATTTACTGAACATTCTGTTTCATGTTTATGTCTAGTTATTTATTATGTAGACATCTGTAGCACTCACTGTCGCTAATGCTACGCCTGTAAAATTAAATTCATTTTCCCATAGTAAGTCACAAATTTCCATTTCCAATGGAATAAATTTTCCTTGAAGTTATCTAAAAATTAAATAGAGATACTTCAGCCAAGGTGTGCATGCCTAAAAAAAGAGCATGTTGGACTTATATCAGCAACAGCTCTTGTTCCTCTGGATGGATCACACGCCTTATTTTTGGATGACTGCAAAGCCCAAAATCCCAGTCCCACAGCAGTGGATCTTGCTAGAACAGATCTCTGCTGCAGTGCTTCCCACTGCCCCCTATTACCAGAAGCAGAGCCCACAAATCACTGGAAGGACATATTCCTGTATTTGTGCAGAGATAATTATTTTTATTTCTGTAAAAAAAACTCATGTTCTGTTTTATAATGCCTGTTTTATAATTAATAATTATTATACAACTATTATACTATATATAATAATATATTATATTACATACATATATATAATAATTATGATCTAATTATTTTTGCTTCTGTAAAAAAACTCATGTTCTGTTTTATAATGCCTGCATCTGAAAAAGGAAGGAAATAACTTCAAGTCACACCTGTACATAACATTGTTCCCTTGCAGTCTGGCTTCAAACACTGCAAATCATGTAAATTTATTAAGTTTTTCAGTGATTTTATATTAAAACTTCTTCATGTTATTGTCCATTTTCCAAAAAGTAAAAGGAAAATCATAACTTCGGATTATATACACTCCAAGCAGTAAGAGACTTTAAATGAAGCCAAAGAAAAATAAAGGACAGAAGCAAAGAGACATGAGCAAGGTAAGGAAATGAATACAAATTCAAACATACAATGATCAGTGTAAGGATGAGATCATGTAAAGCTGAAGTTCAGAGAAAAGGAAAAATTTTGTGGGGGGAAAAATCATTAAACAACAAGCAGCAATAAACCAATGCCACACAGCAAGCAGCAGGAAAGGCACACTGCTGGAAGTACTCAAGCCCTGCAAGACTATATCAACACCAATCTTTAGACACTCCTGAGGAGCAGGGAGCTGCTTCTCTCTGAGAATCACTGCTTGGAAAGTGCTATTTTCAAAATAAACACAAACTCACAATATGATTCTCCCAAAACTTGTATTTCCAGTTAGTCAACAACAATTCCTTAGTTACTGGTGAGCAGTATAGTTTAACTTTCAAGCTGTGAGGAGACAAAAAACACAGATAAGTGTTTTCTAAAGCAGACATGAGGAACAATCTAACAACACATCAGCACCTGGCACCCAGTACATCAAACCCTGCCCTCAGAAAGCTCTCACGTGAGGAGACCTGCAGAGCTGGAAGCCTGCAGGCTTCTCTTCAGCACAGCAACCCAAACCTACCCCTGTGTGCCCCTGCCTGCAGGGTTTGGTGCAGACACAAATGCAGCGTGTGGCACATGGCCATGACCCATCTGCTTGTTTCTCTACCCCTGCACACACTCCTGGAAAGGCATTTGGGACAGTTAGCACACAGCAGAACACAGAATACTCCTTATGAAGCTCAAGCTGATGCACAGAGACCTGATGAGCAAAGAGATTCTCTGCTTGCATCAGAGGAGATGCAATACCTACTCTAATAAATCAAAGAGAGCTTAGGAACTGGTCCACAACCACCCTGGGCCCATTGCCACATTTAGTCACCCTCAGGGTGAAAAAGGTGTCCCTTGCCCTTTCTTTATGCATTTCCATGAAAAGCCTGGCTCCATCTCCTCTATCCCTACCTGCAAACAGTGATATACGATTGTCACCTACTCCTAAGGCTGAAGACATCCAGCTCTCTCAGCCTCTCCTCACACACCACACAGCCCTGGCCCCAGACCAGCGTGGTGATGCTGACCAGAACACCTATCAATTTACCATCCAGGGGAGCCCAGGGCTGGACACAGTACCCCAGAAAAGTCTCATAGATGCTGGCCAGCGGGGAATAACTGTCTCCCTCAAACTGCTGGCTACCTGTTTGCTTATACACCTCAGAGAGCACAGCTGGCCCCTCCACTGCACAGTCACAGCACTGTCTCCGTGTACCAACGCTTCCAGAGAACAACAGAGATCCTCACGAAGCTCATGAACGTCATGGAGTTCAACGAGGCCAAGTGTACCTGAGTCTGAGCAACCCCTGGTATCAAAACAGACTGAGGGATAAACGGGTTAACAGCAGCCCTGCAGAAGACTTTGGGGTACGGGTGGATGAGAGGCTGGACATGAGCCAGCAGTGTGCACCTGCAGCCCAGAAAGCCAATCTTATCCCGGGCTGCATCACCAGCACTGTGGGCAGCAGGACAAGCAGGGCGTTCTGCTCCTCTCCCGTGAGCCCCAGCTGCAGCGCTGCTGCCAGCTCTGGGGTCACCAGCACAGGAAGGACAGGGACCTGTTGGAGCAGTTCCAGAGGAGGCCACGAAGATGCTCAGAGGGCTGGGGCACCTCCGCTATGAAGGCAGGCTGAGATAGCTGGGGTTTTTCAGCCTAGAGAAGAGAAAATTCTGGGGGGACATTACTGCTACCATTTGATATTTAAAAGGGGCTTTTAAAAATTACAGAGAGGGACTTTCCACAAGGACATGGTGTGGACCAGGGGAGCTGACTTTAAATTGAAAGGGGGCAGGTCTAGACGACGTACAAAGAATAAGTTTTTTACAATGAGCGAGGGTGGCGAGGCACTGCAACAAACTGCCCAGAGAAGTTGCGGATGCCCCATCCCTGGAAGAGTCCGAGGCCAGGCAGGAGCAGCCCGGTCTAGCGGGAGGTGTCCCTGTCCCGTTCCCATCCCGGGATTTATGGCCCACGGCGGCTCCTCGCGCTCTTCAGCCGCCTCCCCTGAGGCCGCCCCGCCTCAGCCCGTACCTGCCCTCCAGCCTCCTCTTCAGGGCGGTCGCCCGCAGCCCCATCATGTGATCTGGGGAGAGAGGCGGGGGGTCAGCCGGGGGACACGGCGGGGGAGGGAGCACGGCGGGGGGACCCCGGCGGGCCCTCACCCTTGTGGCAGTGCGACAGGAAGAAGGCGCGCGCGCGCAGGTTGTCGCGGTCGAAGCGGTCGATGGACAGCGCCGGGTACTCGCGCGTGCGGCCCCCGAACCGGCTCATGGCGGGCGGCGAGCGCGCGCTTCCGCCCAGCCCGGCCCCCGGCCAATCGAGAGGCGGTCCCGCCCCGCGCCAGCCTATCAGGGGCGGGCACGGCCGATTAAAGAGGCCACGGCGGGCGGTTGCCTGGCGACCGTTGGCGTCGTGAGGGGACAGCCGTGAGGGGACAGCCGTGAGGGGCTGGGGGAGGCCGTGAGGGGCGCCGCCATCGGGCCTCGGCTGCCGCTCCGCCCCGCCTGGGAAGAGTCCCCGTTTTGCCTCTCTTGAACCGAGGTGGGCTGCCTTAAGGACTGGGTGGGCGGGTTGTGGCCAGAGCGGTGGGAGCAGGGTGGAGTTAGGGTCGCTGCGCAGTTACGGGTGCAGGCCGGGACGTCAGCCTGAGCATCTCGGAATGTACAAGGAACTGTCGGGTAGAGTAGGTAGAAGCCACTGGAAAGAGGGGAACTTAGATTAGATGTTAGGAAGGATTTTTTTTTTTTTTTTTACAGTGCGGGCGGTGAGGCACTGGGACAGGTTTCCCAGTGAGGTTTTGCTGCCCCAGCCCTGGGACAGTTCAAGGCCTGGTTGGATGGGCCTTTGACCAACCTGATCTAATGGAAGGTGTCCCTGCTCATGGCAGGGGTTTGGAACGAGATGATCTTTAAGGGCCTTTCCAACCCCTTGACATTCTATGAAATCCCTTACTGGCTCTTCTGAGACCCCAAGCAGGTCCTGTGTTTGCTGGGTTGGGGTGAGTGATGTAGGCAGTACAGCCATCTCCTCCCAGTGCTGTGCCCAGGGCCTCTCCTGCCTGGGGACATGGTGCTCCTTGTCCGGGCTGAGGATACCCTGGCCTGGGGCCAAGGTGCCCGTACTTTTCAGCTTCAAGTTTGCTGGTGAATGTGGGTGTGCACCCTAAATGGGTGAAGGCACAGACACTACTCCCCCCCAGCACCAGCACACAGGCTGTGACCCACAGTCCTGCTGCACCTGCTGACATGGAGCCCCTCACTCATGACAGCCCTCCCCCAGTAGCTAATTTTTCAGGACACACCCTGTTCCTGCTCCAGTGGCTGGAAATTTAGTATCCCCACCTACTCCAGATATCATAGGCCACAAGTGCTCATAGCCCCAGCCTGATTCCCAGAGCTGGCACCAGTGTTCACTCATACACAGGTCTCACCAGGAGCTGGCACTTTGTCCTTGCAGCACACACACGGAACACAGAGTTTGTGCAGAGACAGTCAAGATTTAAGAAGATACAAAAGAGTAGGACAGTCTGTGATGATCAGGTGTGGGGCTTAGCTGGGCACGTAATACTGACTGATCCTGTTTTACACAGGACAGGCTTGTTTTGTACTCCTTTCTGTCTATTCCCATCTTTGTTTCTCACTGCTCCTGCACATTCCTCACAGATCTATACAGTTCTGTGGATTCCCACACCTCTCCAAGTCTGGGTTCCCCTGGTTAAGTCTCACCAGTGCAAAGTCCAGGTTGCTTTCCCTGGATGTCATTCCTGTTGTTTCTTGATAGGCCATCTATTAGTGCTGGAGTTGAGGTTTGTTTATCAGCGTTTGTTTTGTCAGGTCCCTATCTCTGCATATTTTGTTTGTTTCCCCCTTTTTCCCAAATTTCCCAACTGACAAGGTCCCTGATCAGATAACCTTGTTGGAATTAACATTCTCACACTCTTCACATGCCACGGGTGGGGTTCTCATCCTCACTTTCCTCATTTGCTGCTCAGGTTTGAGTCCCCATATATTGTTGTATGTCTTTCTCCCTTTCCTGTAACCCCATGTTGCAGTGAAAGTGGTCCTTGGGCAGATGCCCTAAGGGAGCAGACACTCTCCTCCCACAAACCCTTACAGCTTGTGTAACTGTTCAGGAAACCACCATCAGCGAGCCCAAGCTAGCTGGGACTCCACAGTCACTGTGTTATGGTTAACATTAAAAAATGTGTTCCCAAGGCCAAAGCACTCACTGTTTACCCTAAATCAGGAGCTGGCAAACATTGTCATTTTAGCAAAGTTCACTTCACTGTTCAAAAATTCCCCCTAAATGAAAAGCGTTAAAATTAAACTGAATATTTTCTTACCATTCTCTTGTCTTCTTTATTTGCCTTTGTCTGTCTGTTGTCCTTCATCTCTTCCCTGAATTCCTGGCTGGAGTACAGCTGTCCCCTGCTCTGGTACAATGAAAACAGCTCTGTGCCTGGAACTTGGACACACAATAGACACAGAGTACAATTTTTAAATAGCAGCCCCAAAATGGGATGCTTTCATTATATGAAGTCACTAAGCTGGAAGTTTTAATATCTGATCTTTATTTTTTGGGCAGGAACGCCTGTAGACAGGCACTGTGAATTAATGGTGACTCAAGAAGTGCCAGACCTATCCACATGTCTTGAAGAAAAACCTTCATTAGGTGAATCCAGCACGTCCAGTAAAGAAGTACTTAACACTAACGACATGTAAGTTATCACAAGACACTTAATTTCATTATAGCTTAGCATTTATTAGGATCTAATATTATTGCTAATCATATTGACTGTCTGAAGTCAATATTGACTGACAACAGTTCTCATCAAACACTGATAAAAAATACAGAGCTTGAAAAATCCTGTGGTGGCTACAAAAGAGCCCTTTGCAGCACAGGAGGAACAAACTTACCCTAATTACTACCCTAAATTTAGAATAAGGATCTGTGCTTATCCTGTTAATTTGTATTTGATACTTCATAACCAGGTGGGAAAATTGCTTTTTTAGTTTAGTGAATGGCTGCTTTCAACTGAAAAATGCTGCAGTGCCTGGTAAAAGAATGCTTGGAATACTGAACTGCAAGAAATGGTTTAGTGTTGCCAGAAAAATGCCCTTTCACATATTTTTATTGATCTCTAATAAATGTATTCAGTAGGAGATAAAAGGCCCTTTCTTTGTCTCCTGCTGGCTCTCATACAAACAGGTGCAGACTTCTTTCTGCTAGTTCCACATTGTGGTAACAATAATTGTTGATATATTTTTCCCAAATATTTTTATCATGTGATGCAAGACTTTTTTTTTCCCAATTTCTGCTTTTCTGAAAGACTAGTGACATTTTGCATTTGATATAATTTCAGCATTCAACTTTTCAAGTTCTCTCAAGTTGATATAGGAACTTGCCAAGTAAAGAAATTGGGCAAGGTTTGGAGGCAGCATGATACCCACAGGGAAGGAAACTATTCATCCTCTCACTGTAAAATACAGAAGTTTTCATTCCTTCGAGATGCTTTCCTGGTTATGAAGCTGAAGCTTGGTGACATTTCAAAACTGGGAAAGGACTCACCTCTGATCATACCTGCTAGGCATGATAGTGATGGGTGTGCTTTGCTGGCAGAAGCAACAAAAGTTCTATTTGGGCAGCAAAATAAGATATGCTTAGGAAAGCAAATGCAATGAAATTCAGAAGTCAAAGTATTTATTTTTTTAGTGCAGTTCAAATCCACCCCTGCTGAGTATCCACTCTCTGCAATTTTTAATTGCTTTTTTTGTTGCTGTTGTTTTTAGTTTATTTGGGGTTTTTTTATTATTTATCTATGCAATTAATTTTCTTTTCAGTTTGAGTTTCAGCTTGTCCCAGTTCTGCTCTTCTCAGGTTTAGCAGCTGATTAACCTGTTTGCTGCATCTCAGCAGACTGAACAAATGGGTTTTGTGTGAGGAGGAAGTCAGTGGCAGTCTGTTTGCTTGGGCAAAGGTAGAAAAGGGTGAATTCTGGCAGGCTGTGTGCCTTGTCTCCTTATCCAGTTTATCTCTGAAGACCTCATCTCTGTCATTGGCACTGTGGCCATGTCACTGACTGTGCATTTCTCCTTTCCCCTCCTGTCCCATCCTGAGTGTTTGCTGTTCTTCAGTAACAGCCCAGATCTTCATTCTGTGGTTCCCAGTTTGGTGCCACTTCAGGAGCAAGAAAGAAAAATGTGGAATTCTGCCCGCCTGCCCCAAGGGGACAGCAGCTGCAGCGATGTGAAATTCAAAAATACTGCATTTAGTATTTTTTTAATTCATCAATATGCACAATTAAATTTTAGGAGGGTTGAGTCAAGATATATACAGAAGTACAGATGAGTTGGGTTTGACATCAAGTAGTGCATTTAATTTGGTTCCAACTGCTTATAACTTTTTCCTTTTTTAACCTCAGACTTTGAACTCTGTAATTCCTTTGTTTTAACATTTTGTTCTATCCATTACTCTATGTCCCCAACAAAATCACTTGCTTCTGTCTTCTCTATTTAATTTTTTTAAGTCTGATTTCAGGAAGATGCCTGAAGTTTCTAAAGTCATGACAAAAGCTGACATCAAACCAAAATCTGTGCATCGTGCCAAGATATGGTCAAATGATGTAGAGAACTTATACAGATTTCAGCAAGCTGGATACAGAGATGAGGTGGAATATAAACAAGTAAAACAAGTTGATGAGGTAAGATTTAGAACTTTGTAAGAGTTACTGCTTTGAACTTCTGTCTCATCTAAAATGATTAAATAAAAATGGAGGTGCTGCTTACTTCCTTTCATTTAGGCTAGGTTCTGATACAGTGTTTTTCCTCACAGGTCTGACTTGAATTCTTGAGCTGTTGTTAACTGTGTAGAATAACTCATTTCACAGAAGTGAAGCAGAAATACTACCCAGCCTGTGTTTTGTTGCCCATCTCTGATGCATTTAGAAGCATCACAGATCTCTTTGAACAGATGGAGCTGATCTCCAAAGGAATCATTCAGTGTTCAGGAAAGAAACATTTCAAAGTGAGCTCTCTGAAGCTTCCCCATTAGTCTGTCAATAGACTTGATAGGAAACTTGTTGATTGTCCGTGGAGTCAGTCCTGTGTCATTGCTGCTGCTTCAGTTTGCAGTTGGATTGTTTGGTAGCACAGTCAGGCTTTGTGCACACTCACAGCTTGGCCTCTATCAAAATGATGTCCACAATGGAAATATTTGAATTGTACTAAAGGCAGTTGTGACACAGGCTCTTGTCAACACCAAGGACTTGTGCCTCTGCTCACTGCAGTTGTTAGTGATGCTCTCCAGCACATCAAATGAGCTACTGAGTAGTGGCCAAACATCCAGTGGCTACTCTGGGTTCAAAACAGCAACCGACAGGTTAATACAGCAAACAATATATCATTTTTATTACAGCTCTGTAATTTATCTTCCAAAGCAGCAAATACAGTATGAAGAACACACTTTTAAAATATGCTGGCTTCCTGTGCACATAAGAAAGAACAGAAAGTTCCAAGAAACTCACTCCCCATCCAGTTAACTCAAAACACAGCAAAACATATTGATGTGCATAATAAGATACAGTTTATTATTTTATCGTGGACTCTGAAATCACTACAAAGGCTGTGGTATAATTTTCAGTAACTGCAGAAGGAAATAACGTAATTATTGTGGTAGGATCTGTGTGTTCAAGATTCATGACAGGGCACAGCCCCTGGCAGTTAAACCCTGATGAAAGTTAAAGAATACCACTGACTAATTGTAGTGTGAGTGAGCATTCAGTTCCAGCATGCCAGGGCCTGGCAGTGATTCTCTTTGAACTTACATATTCTGAAATGTCTTGTTTATTCCATATTGTTGTTACTAAAGATGCAATTATAATGTAGGTGGAATGAATCTTAGGGCTGTTATGTTTAGATAGACAATGCAAATAACACAGCTATGTGCCTGAAGTCAGAAGGTAAGTGATGAAACCACTTCTGGGGCTCTCCAATTAGAGAATGCTCTAGTTTGACATCCTGTTGTCAGCTCTGCCTGGAAGAGAAATAAGATGCTTATTACCTGATTTTTAAGGTTTAGTTTAATCAGAAGCAGTCATAGATGCCCAAGCTGAAAGAGCCACTAAAGCCATAAAGCTGTTGAATATGCAAATGCTGAAGCTTTTAATTTAAAGCTTTACACTATGAAAGAGTGAAGAGCACCAGGGTGATGCTGAGTTTATGTGGGACTGATCCTACTGTCTTCGAGACTGGTAAGTCCCACATAAACTCAGCATCACCCTTTAAATTAAAGGCTTCAGCATTTGCATATTCAACAGAAGGATCTGAAAGAAATCTTTAAATATATGTCAGTCTTACAAAAGCAGACACTGGCAGCCTCTCAGATTACTGAATAACTGAATAGCATCAATGTTGTGTTCCTAAACAAGGAGTTTTAAAAACTTTGACTTGCCCAATTTAAAATAAGTCTGTTAAATATCCTTAGATTCCTATTTCTAGGCTTTTCAGATCACATAACTTTATACTAAACTGAAAACTGGTTTCTGTCATCTTGTTCTCAATCTGTTTTTAAAAGTTCAGCAAGTTAATAGAAAAGTAGTATTTAGATGCAAATGAGGGTTTTCTATGAAAGTATACCCCATATTCGTTGCAATGTCCTGCACAAACATAATTTAATGTGGTTCAGGTGATTTTATATCATTTTTGTTCTACTTGTAGGTAGAGTGCTGGCCAGAAACTGGATTTGTTAAGAAACTCCAGAGAAGGGACAATACATTCTATTATTACAATAGGCAAAGAGAATGCGAAGACAAAGATGTCCGTAACGTGAAAGTTTATGTGTATTAGTGCTGTTACTGTTCTGGTTGGTTTGTTTCTATAAATTGTTTCTTAAGACCTGTAAGTAAATGAACTGTGTAATCTGGCTTACCTGAAGTATCCATGTCATGCTTAGATAGAAAGGGGAGTGCCGGAAATGTAGAGAAGCCTGAACTATAGACATAGAAACTTCACCTTTTCCTTCCTATAACTAAAAGCCTTATTATGCCTCATTTTCCTGGTTACAGATGCTTTGACATAAAGCTAAAAACTGGTAAATGGATATCATATATTTCAATTAACTGTATAACATCCATTGTAAGTACAAGCATCAATCTTTATTCCAAACAATAGAATCTAGTTGACACTTGTTAATGTCAGCCACAGTCTCTTGGGGCAGCTAAGGGTTATGAGACTCCAAAGGGCCAAAGTGAGACCAGAGCACTGACTGACATTTCCTTGGAGCAGAGCAAGAAAAACAAGCAAAGAATTTAAGTGCAGGATGCTGAACAATCAAGTAACAATGGCCAGTGCTGAGACGCAGATATAAAGACTGGTTATTGTGATAGAAAGAGTCACAACAGAAATGTCTTTTTGTCTATCCCCAAAGTATTTTTGTCAGATGCCAGTATTAATTACTCAAAGAGGAAGTATTAATTGACTTAGCAGCATATTCCTTCTTGCAGGGGTGGATTGTGGATTCACAGGTGTTGGGAACATGGAGTATAAAACTCCAGGGAGAACATGAAATCCATGTTTGGTAATATTTAGGGGAAATTGACGTACACAGATTATATGTGGGATTTCTGGGCAGAATTCATCTCATCTAACTTCAAATGTCACATTATCAACATCCACACCTGATCCTGTCATTTGGACAGCCTTTGTTCTGAATGGAGAGAAGCTCTTGTGGGCACAATTAATTTATTTTAAGTGCAGCTATGTAATGTTTTCTTTGAATGTGCTGCTGTGACATCAGCTCTGCAGCAGCTGCCCATATCTGGGCTACTGAGACACTCAGTGAAGATGAGGGACTGTACTTACCTTCACTCATGAGGGGATTTAAAATATTATATTAAAATACTTTGAGATGCCAAAACTCCTGATAATTGACCAGCAGAACAGACTGTTGTTATGAAGACCAGTAGGTGTGTTTGAGGTAGTTACAAAAATTTTGTTGTTAATATTTCCTATCTCTAGACTGTTGACCAAGGGTATCTAAACTTAGATTTAGGCAGGAGTTAGCAGTGTACATTTGACCACCTAACTTATGGATATTCTTCATTTGTTTGAGCCTAAGATGGAAGCAGACTCAAGATGAGAAATAGAAGACACAGCTCCTAGTCAAAATAACTAGTATGAGTGCAATATTTAAAATACTTCATTGACAATGATTGCTGATGCTCTCATCGTATTTAGACCACTTGGAGAATTTTAGCTTAAATTTGTATGAGCTCTGTTAGAGAAATGACTGAAAGATACTCTGAAGCAACTATGAAACTTATATTCCCAGAAGGCTTTAGTGGCATATAGAGAGTTACTGCAATGTAGAGAAATAAAGCATTGCTGCAATGAATGTCATTTCAGCCTTTCATTATGATTTCTTTTATACTTGAAGTGCTCTGGATGTACTTTTTAAAGACAGGACTTTTTACATACTTTGCAGTTAAATAGTGGAAACAGAGCAATTACCAGATAACCCATCTATTTTGTCACTTTAGTTTAGTGGATCTCACTTTGTTAGCTTTAAAAAAATCCTAAAACCAGAATATTCCAGTGGATATGAAAACGGCCTTTAAAGAATTTCACAAAACATAGATGTGGTGTATAGCCAGCTCAAATTTATTGTCAGAAATTATTGCTATCAGCACACACAGAAGAAGTGAGAACATTTGGTACAGCCATTTTCTCAGTCTATAAAAAAGACATAGTTGGGTATTTGAGAACAGGAATTAAAACTGCAGGTAACTTTTTAGGATTTAATGTGAATTTTTTTCCTCAAGAAAGATTTTTGGAAGTTGAAACACATATAAGAGATTATTCTGGCATTCCCTCATTATACCTAACTACTCCTCAATATTTTTGCAATGTTGCTAGATGCTTCTGTCTGTATTTTAAAACCATGAGTGTGCATTTCATGCAGCCCATGGATATTTCACTTCAAATGAATAGCATGGGAATTCATGTTCCACTTTATATGAGTTGACAGATCCTTCCCACTTTGAGAGAATGAGTTACCTAGATATTACTTACGTTTTTCAGCACTGTCAGTGTAAAAAAGATTGAATGTCACTGTGATATTGAAAAGATTCACAGGATGAAAGACAAGCCTTGTAATTAGTAAGACCAGTTTACTGAGATGGCCTTTGTCAGTTCAAGACTGGGGAATTTGCGAGTTCCCTCAGTTCATTAGCAAAACAGCAGGTTTTGTACTAGCAGCGTTGGTTTCAGTTATAATTGTCCTTTGACATCCAGTTTGTGCTAAACTTAAGATAATATGACCACTCCTCCAGCCTGCCAAAGTTCCTCCTAACCAGGCTTTGGCATTCAGCTGTGCTGGCTGAGCATGAAGCTGATACTTGAGTACCAACAAAGTTTCCTCTGCTGCCTGTGTGCTGGATATATCTTTTGCTCGGAAGAGCTGTCAAAAGAACTCAGTGTTTTCTCTTATCTGATACATCTGATATGAGAAATACCTGAAATATTTCTTAGCTGAAATATCCCTACCTCAGTTTTAAGCAGGTGGAAAGCTGTGAGCTCACTTGTCTCTTAAGCTTAGTTATGAAGGAGTATCAGAAGTAAGCGATCTGGGGAAGCTGTGCTTCATTTAAGGGTGACACAACAGTACTTATCTACATAAATTATTTCTGAACATCATTATACAAACTCTTTTACTGAATTTTAAAGAGATAAAGCACATATTTCAAGTTTTATTGCCCAGAGATGAAAATATGTGCTGTTTTTCTGATTTGAGTCTTAGTAAAAAGTAATTATGTAAAAAGTACTTTCCCAGGTACTTATCTGTTGGTATTTCTCTTATCAGGGAATATTGTAATGCTCTCAGTGGCATTTGCAGCAGCTCAAGGAATGGTTGGTGGCAAGGCTCTGTTAGCTTGCAGCTGTCTAAGCCTGATCTACTTGGTCTAATTTTAATTCCCTTCATAGCTTTGTAAAAGAATAATAAATCCTTTCTGTGCCTGTAAAAGCTCACAAGAGTAGGGAAAACAAATTCCAAGACCTACTCTGCAGGCTTTGTGTTTGACTGCTACACGTGAAATGCCAAGAGTGCAACCTGGGGTGTTCCAGGCTGCTGTGCTCTGCTTTTCAGGCTTTAGTGGAATCCATTTTGGAACAGTGCTTTCTGACAGTGATACCATGGTTGTTTGACTGCTTTGCAGTCACAGCAGCTCAAAGCTCCACACGGAAGGATGGCAGAGTTGTTTTGATTTTTCACTTAGGTACCTGAATGGACAGTTGTTTTTCCATCTCTGAAGACAGTTGAACCTCAACCTTTTGGTTTTCAAGCATGGTTCCCTTGTTTCAAAGTGTTGAAAATGGTAGGCTTCAAACTCATTAAAAACAACTTCCTAACTCAGCAGTTGTTGGTGCTGCTTTTCCTCACATTGTCGATACAAACGAGGGCTGCCTGAAAGCAGCTGGAATGGAGTTCCCCTGTGCTCCTTGCAGGTTCTCTCCTGGTACTTCAGTTCCACTGAATTTATCTTATTCATTGGACCTGCTTTCTCAGTAACCTGGATGTCCTGAACACTTCTTAGCAATTACTTAATTACTTAAAAAAAACCCACAATTTCTTTCTTGTTGCAATTGAGACTTGGCATTTAATTCAAGTCTGAAGCACAACACCCTCACAAACAACATTTGGGATGGTGACTGGGGAATGTCTACTGACAGTAGAGTTCCAGGGTGGCACCCAAAAAATTACTGTAATGTAACTTTGAACAAACATAATCATTTTTATGGATGCTTTGTTCTGCCAGTGTATTTACATCTCTCAGTGTTGAGATAGAGTATCTTTGCTGCTTGTTGCTTTTGTGGCTCTTTTTCTCCCCTCAATACTCTCCCATCTTCTCTGCCTTCACAGGCACTCCACACTCATGGATCCCTTGAAAAGCCTGTCCAGTGTCCTCTGTCCTGGCTCCCTCCACCAGCCCTGGCTCAGACCTTGAGTCTTTTCCGGGGCCTGGCACACAGCAAAGGAAATCAAGGATGGGTTTTAATAAGAAGGCAGGCCAGACTGCATGGATCAGGGCCAGGGCCCAGCCAGGTGATTGTCCTGCCCAAACACTTGCTGTCATGTGTGATCCCTCCAGCCTCCTTCCTTGTCATCTTCCCATACTTGTTCCACCCTGATCCTTCCCTTCCTGTGTCTTTGGTCATTTCTGTAAACATCCTGTAGTAAGTTTTGTTCAGTTCCCCGAGCTCCCTCACATACACCTCTGATTTCACACTAACCATGTTCTCTCCATCTTATCAGTTACAATATTGAGGCAGACCCTCTCCAAAGCCAGAGTAGCTCCTTTAATGGTCCATCAGACAGTGCCTGGCAAGTTCTGGCCTCCCTTACTGTCTCTCTCATCACCTGCTCATTAATGTTTGTGTGCCTGTGTGTTTAAATCACTGTTTTCCTCGTTATTTGTTACTTCTGTGATACGGAATAACCAGACAATTTACTGAAGCAGATGCTCTGCAGTTTCACACGTCCTGTGGCAGCTCCCGAGGCAGGCGCTTGGCTGTGCTCTGAGGATGGTGGAGAGGCACCCACGCACCTGAGCCCCACGGTGCTGGCAGGCGGCAGCTCTAGGGACCGGGAGATACGGGAAGGGAATGCCCAGAAACAGAAGGAGGAGGGGGAAAGGGGAGCGGGGGAAGAAGGGGACGGGTTCAGGGAAGGACGAGCAGGTTAAAGAGTCAAGCGCACAGATGCATCAGCATTTTGCCAGCAATCTCGTGCTCACAGAAACCTCCTCCCCTGCTGGCAACTCTTGCTGGTTGGGGAAGTAGGATGTGGTCCCAGCTCCTCGCTGCAGATGTTCCTCCTGCCTTGGCAGGAGCACCCAAATACCTCATCCAAGTGGGAGCTGTCCT